TTAATTTCCCCTGGGTTCCAATACATGTACGCATTTAGATGATGAAATGAAGGATACAAATAGGGGGAGATTATCTGGAAGTAATTTGTCGATGTTCTGCACGTCATAAGATTAACTGACATTGCACATCACATAATTTCACAGAACTAGCTAGACTGTAAACACACTTTTCATTACTATTTTCTATATATAGGCCTCCACACCTGCCTCATATGCAATCTGATCATGGAGAGAAACACAGGTCAGGAGGTATTTATAAGCACAAAGCCATTCACATCACAGCAGGACGCTGGCTTAGCAGGTGACAGGTGTTAGATGTACGCAGCTCCTATAGGTTGCTAGAGGAGAGTTGTTCTATTGTGAAATGACATTCCCAAGGTTACCAAGGACTTCCATTACTATCAGTAGATCACTGAACACAGCCAGTAATCAGTCAATTTCACGTCTGCTCTGGATGCCGTCAGTATTATCCATACATTTCATATGCTGGTAGGAGAAACATTCCAAAAGCTGTTACTGAGGTATAACTAAAAGAAACAGGGTCTGCTGTAAAATCCTAGAAAAACTATAGACATTTAATATTTACATATATACTGTATGTAAATATTACCAGCTTGATGTTAGTAGTTATGTCAGTCTTATGATGTCTTAAAAGCCTTGTTTTTATGATTAGTTTATATTTATAATAGCATTCGATGTGCATGTGGACAGCTATATTTGTTCATTACATATGCAAGCACTGCTTCCTTCTTCATAATGCCACAGATTGCGTGTTCTTTTTCATCACTGTCAATGCAAGTTTACCAGACAGGTCTGCATGGCCATAATCAATTAACTACTACTGTATTTAAAAGCTGAAATAGAGAGTTCTTTCTAATGACTAATTTACATGTCTGTACATCTGTCCATTATTTTTTTTTTTTTTTTTTATTTATTATTATTATTATACAGGATTTATATAGCGCCAACAGTTTGCTCAGCGCTGTACATTATAATGGGAGACAGTACACGAGACAGTACAGTAACAATACGATTCAATACATGAGGGGTTTGAGGGCCTTGCTCCTTGGAGCTTACAATCTAGGAGGGAGGGGATAGTGGTACAGGAGGAAATAGCTGTGGGGGATGGAGTGGTAGGAAGAGTGGAGGAGTTCAGTAATTATCCGAGGGCGGGGTAGGCTTCCCTGAAGAGATAGCTTTTCAGAGTGCGCCTAAAGGTGAGGAGAGTAGGTGATAGTCTGATGGATTGGGGTAGGGAGTTCCAGAAGATGGGGGAAGCCCTGGAGAAGTCCTGGAGATGGGCATGGGAGGAGGAGACCAGGGAACTTGAGAGTAGGAGGTCTTGTAAGGAGCAGAGTCCATCTCCATCTCTCTCTCTCTCTCTCTCTCTCTCTCTCTCTCTCTCTCTCTCTATATATATATATATATATATATATATATATATATATATATATATATAGTCTAAAAATCGAAATGGTAGGTGTATTGTAACACTGATAGACAGAATAGCAACAAAAAATTCTAAAGAAATGCATGTCTAACAAATGATGCACTGATTTGCATGTTCATGAGGGAAATAAGTATTTGATCCCCTTTCATTCAGCAGGATTTCTGGCTACCAGATGTCTTTCATACAGGTAACAAGCTGAGATTAAAAGCAGTATCTTAAAGGGAGTGCTGGTAATCTCATTTTGTTACTTGTATAAAAGACACCTGTTCACAGGAGCAATTAAACAATCAGATTCCAAACTCTCCACCATGGCAAAGACCAAAGAGCTGTCCAAGGATGTCAGGGACAAGATTGTAGACCTACACAAGGCTGGACTGGGCTATCAAACTATTGCCAAGCAGCTTGGTGAGAAGGTGACAACAGTTGGTGCAATCATTTGCAAATGGAAGAAACACAAAACAACCGTCAGTCTCCCTAGGTCTGGTGCACCATGCAAGATCTCACCTCGTGGAGTGTCAATGATCATGAGAACAGTGAGGAACAGTGAGGAATCATCCCAGAACTACATGTGAGGATCTTTTCAATGATCTGCAAGCAGCTGGGACCACAGTCACCAAGAAAACAATTGGTAACACACTATGCTGACAAGGATCGAAATCCTGCAGTGCCCGCAAGGTCCCTCTGCTCAAGAAAGCACATGTCCAGGCCCGTCTGAAGTTTGCCACTGAACATCTGAGTGATGCAGAGGAGGACTGGTTGAAAGCGTTGTGGTCAGATGAGACCAAAATCGAGCTCTTTGGCCTCAACTCGACGTGTTTGACAGTTGGGATGGTGTTTTTAGGGTCATAGGCAGCATTCCTCCTCCTCCAAACATGGTGGTGGAAACATTCTGCTTTGGGGGTGTTTTTCTGCTAAGGGACAGGACAACTGCACCACATCAAATGGACAATGGACTGGGCAATGTACCATCAAATCTTGGTTGAGTACCTTCTTCCCTCAGCCAAGTATTTACATCCAAATCAGGTGAACGGTGTAGGAATTACAACAGTTTGCATATGTGCCTCCCACTTGTTAAGGGACCAAAAGTAATGGGACAGAATAATAATCATAAATCAAAATTTCACTTTTTAATACTTGGTTGCAAATCCTTTGCAGTCAATTACAGCCTGAAGTCTGGAACGCATAGACATCACCAGACACTGGGTTTCATCCCTGATGATGCTCTGCAGGCCTCTACTGCAACTGTCTACTGCAACTGTCTTCAGTTCTTGCTTGTTCTTGGGGCATTTTCCCTTCAGTTTTGTCTTCAGCAACTGAAATGCATGCTCAATCGGATTCAGGTCAGGTGATTGACTTGGCCATTGCATAACATTCCACTTCTTTCCCTTAAAAAACTCTTTGGTTGCTTTTGCAGTATGCTTTGGGTCATTGTCCATCTGCACTGTGAAGCGGCGTCCAAGGAGTTCTGAAGCATTTGGCTGAATATGAGCAGATAATATTGCCCGAAACACTTCAGAATTCATCCTGCTGCTTTTGTCAGCAGTCACATCATCAATAAATACAAGAGAACCAGTTCCATTGGCAGCCATACATGCCCACGCCATGACACTACCACCACCATGCTTCACTGATGAGGTGGTATGCTTAGGATCATGAGCAGTTCCTTTCCTTCTCCATACTCTTCTCTTCCCATCACTCTGGTACAAGTTGATCTTGGTCTCATCTGTCCATAGGATGTTGTTCCAGAACTGTGAAGGCTTTTTTAGATGTCGTTTGGCAAACTCTAATCTGGCCTTCCTGTTTTTGAGGCTCACCAATGGTTTACATCTTGTGGTGAACCCTCTATATTCACTCTGGTGAAGTCTTCTCTGATTGTTGACTTTGACACACATACACCTACCTCCTGGAGAGTGTTCTTGATCTGGCCAACTGTTGTGAAGGGTGTTTTCTTCACCAGGGAAATAATTCTTCAGTCATCCACCACAGTTGTTTTCCGTGGTCTTCCGGGTCTTTTGGCGTTGCTGAGCTCACCGTTGCGTTCCTTCTTTTTAAGAATGTTCCAAACAGTTGTTTTGGCCACGCCTAATGTTTTTGCTATCTCTCTGACGGGTTTGTTTTGTTTTTGCTGCCTAATAATGATTTGCTTCACTGATAGTGACAGCTCTTTGGATCTCATCTTGAGAGTTGATAGCAACAGATTCCAAATGCAAATAGCACACTTGAAATGAACTCTGGACCTTTTATCTGCTCATTGTAATTGAGATAATGAGGGAATAACACACACCTGGCCATGGAACAGCTGAGAAGCCAATTGTCCCATTACTTTTGGTCCCTTAACAAGTGAGAGGCACATATGCAAACTGTTGTAATTCCTACACCGTTCACCTGATTTGGATGTAAATTCCCTCAAATTAAAGCTGACAGTCTGCAGTTAAAGCGCATCTTGTTTGTTTCATTTCAAATCCATTGTGGTGGTGTATAGAGCCAAAAATGTTAGAATTGTGTCGATGTCCCAATATTTATGGACCTGACTGTAAATCTATTGTCTGCACCTACATGTGTCATGCAGAGGAGCAAGGGAATTCTAAAGAGTGCTTGAAATCTTCTTGGCAGGGACACAGTGATACAACCCCCCCACCACTCTATCCAAAACCTAAAACTGATTTAGATATACTGTACTTTACCCATTAAAATAATAACTGAAAATGCATGTTCTCTGACAATAAACCAAAGCTTCGCAAAGACCAGTTATCGCATACAAACTGCTGTAAAACCAAATAGCCAATCAGATTTCACCTTTCATCATCTTGAACCATTCAGAACAATTAAAGATAATAGTTTAGAATAGGTAAGTGCTTCTTTCTCATCCTCCCCCTGCTCTTTGCCCCAATAAGAAAGGTCCAATTTGTTTTCTTTCCTGAAATCCCAACCTGAATAAAAGATGTAAATGTAGAAGTCTCTGCTCTCGCCTGTCTTTTGCTCTCTGTTCCATTCCTTTGTTTATGCTTTCATTGCAGCCAGGCTTACATCAACCGCAATAATCACAAATTAAATAGATCCGCTAGTTTCCAGACCCACAGGACCACTTTACCTTCTGCTCACAGGGAATAGCTAGGCTCCGGGCTATTAACACCATTTGTGAGAAATGAGTAATTTCTTTTCATATGCAAAAGATGGAATATTGAATTTAAATGAGAGAATGACAGCCCTGGAATAGACACAAGCAGATTGCAATGGAGTGGCTAAATAAAAGGCTTCCTCCTTTTTTTTTTTTTTTCTTTTTTTTTTTATAGCTCACAACTAGATTGTCTGCAGCCACCCAAAACAGATTATCTGACAGGAACTCAGAGGGAGCCCCATCTGTTAGACTCCAAGTATCCATAGCTTCCCGCTGAACGTTATCGCTAAAACCTGTGGCGCATCTCCAGCTTCAAAACAGAGAGCAAATTGGTAGGAGTGGAAACAGCACGCAAGAAGTCGGTAAGTGGCGAGCAGCGATTACCGAAGTCAACCAGCTTGACTCCTCCTTCTGTTGTCAGAAGTATATTGTTCCCTTTCACGTCACGATGGATGATTCTATTATTGTGCAAATGCTGGAGACCCTGTGTAAAGAAATAATAAAAAAAAAGTAATAATTATTCCCTGGTTTCATATAATTACTCTGCTATTATGATGTTAATTGTAAGTCTACTGTTCATGCAGTAGGAACATCTGTCCAGCCACACACAGGACTGATGCACCCTTGCTGTATTCACCACAGGTATCCTATAGTTGAATTAGCAGTTATAGATAAATAGTACAGACAGACCCAAGTTAGCTATTCCACTATAAGATGGCTAAACAACTAGTGGAACTCCAAGTGGCAGAATGCCACAACAGGAAAGGGTTCTCCAGATCTTCTGGATTATACAAAGACCTAACTTTGGATTGTTTTTAAAGGGTTAGTCAACTCAAGACTAACATTGAAGCTTGCAGAAGCTGGTGGGATATTTAAAGTCTAAATTCACCTTTTACATAAACTGTCCCATGAAGACAAAGGGTCCCGGTAATTTAAAGACTAAATTCACCTTTTCCATAAAATATAAAAACTCACACAGTGGAAGGTGCCATCTAAATGCAGCATTAAAACATTTATCGTAAGATAAAAACAAATTGGCAACCCACATGAAGTAAGTTTGTGAAGAGTGTAGAGCATTAGAAATCAGGACATTCAGGGAACCCTGTAGCAGAAGCATCCAGTCCAGGGACTGTGCAGCACTGCCGCCGGCAAGGTAGGCATTGGAAGCTCAGAGCACTTCCTGGTCATGTGCGGCAGTGCTGCACAATCCCTGGACTGGATGCCTCTGCTACAGGGTTCTCTGGATGTCCTGATTTCTAATGCTGTACATTCCTTGACAAATTTATTTCATGTGAGTTGCAAACTTGTTTTTATTATACAATAAATGGTTTAATGCTGCACTTAGATGACACACTCCACGGTGTTTTAATGTCTTGATTTAGAGATTTCTTCCATCTCTCTGGACGTGCTGCATTTTGTGAAAGGAAGCTTACCGGAGTAAACCCCTGATATCCCAGATAAAGACTGGTTTATTGGATTCATAATTATGCATCCCAGAGTTTTTCCTCTGCTCTGCCCATACACTCTGCCCATACACATAAAGAAATGTATTTTCCAAAATAAAAGCAGTCAAGGGGCCAAAGTAGTTTAAAGGCTAAGTTCACCTTTTCCAAAGAAATAGCTTTGCAGTCAAGGGGCCCCAGTAAATTTTAAAGACAACTGTGTGTCAGTGTAAAATATTCACTAATTTTATTGTCATACCTGTAGGCTATTTGGGACCCCCTGGCAGATGTGGGGATTACTAACTGGGAGTTTTTCAGCCAGGCTTCCAGAGGGGTCCAAATGGTCTACAGGTATGACAACAAAATTAATGAACATCTTACAAAGCTACAAAGATTTTTAATACCTACCGGAGCACCTTGACAACATAGGCTATTTTTTGGAAAGGTGAACTTAACCTTTAAAATACACTATGCCATTTATTTTTTTCCAGGACATGGGCTACAACAAAATGGCTACTGAGTGGTCTTCTTTAAAGACAACAAAAGTGGGTAAGTCTAAGGGGTCATTTTCATTCCTTTGGGGATACTAATCTTTCACTTACTGTTGTGCCTACATAACAGGAAATGAAGGGAAATTGCCTTAGATGGCAAAAAACAGGATTTCTACCAATTCTCTACTTTTCCAAAAAAAAAAAAATGTTAGCTTTAGATGCACTTTAAATGTATTTTACATTAGGTAAAGTAAAACAGGACTGAGATTCCTACTACTGTCACAAAAGGAGTGATATTCCAAGGTAAGAGGCAGAAGGATAGTAACTCCCAAGGGGAGATATATCTGCTGGAATGTCTGAGATATAAATGGAATAAGTGAATGATTTGGCCTAACAGTGTTCACCTGTAAATTATGTAACAATTTAATAATTCTAAAATATTCCAATTCACTGCAACTCATTGTTGCAACAGCATTATGGAAATTTGCTGATTGCAATGTGATATGTGAAGTTCTGATGTCATTATCTAAGCTGGGAGGGAGGGAACTTGCTCATTATCAGTTTTATCCCTCAGATAGTGTACATTATGCGGTAGAGGATCCCAAAAGGATGGCATGGTCAGGGGGGGTGTGGCTGGGGTGGGAGTGGTTCAGATAGGCAGGAGCTATATAAGGTGCCATGTCTTTCATAATGTGCTAGTATGCGATCAGGGGTGGTCTGACAACTCATGGGGCCCCCAGGCAATAAGAGATAATTGGGCCCCCTGTCTTTCCGCCTACACTTAAGCCACACCCACACAACACACCCACCTACAGCTCTGCTGCATAGAAAGGAACATTAAAAATAATTTTAAAAAAATAATAAAACAACATTGTGGGGTCCCCATTCTCCATTCATACCAAGCCCTTTGGGTCTGGTATGAGTTTTGAGGGGAACCCCCATGCCAAAATTAAAAAAAAATTCAGCTGTGTGGGGAACCCCCCCTGAGATCAGCATACCAGACCCTTATCCATTGCAGCAGGCAGGTCAGGAACCATATCAGGCCACATGACTTCAACATGGGGGGTATTTTGGGGGGTTTCCCCCAAAGCAAACTTTTTTGGGGACAAGTGCTATCTTCCCTACAATACCTTATGCCCATGTGAATGCTTAGTAAAGGTTAATCTGTATATATCCCATTCACAAAAAAGTATAGTGTTTAAAAAGACAGGAGACAGTCTCGGGACAAGTCCTTTATTAAAAGAAGATCGCAAAGAGTGTCACCCCAAACATAACTACCAACGTCAATCATAATGCTCACCGCCCTGATGCTACCCTTATTAAAATAGTGAAAAAAAATAAATATTTCATAATATTGTGAACATAAATAATCATAAATTCATATATACCAATAACTTATAAAAATGTATAATATTAACCCATATTCGTGATTAAATAATAAATAATGATTAATTGTGAATCATTGCTCTTCTCACCCAAAAAAATGGGGGGGGTGGGTATTGTGAATGGCTAGTGGTACCCCTTTAGTGAAAAAAAAAAAATATAAAAATTACCGTGATACACCCCCACCTGCAGACCCCCATAACCATTAGCCAGGGTTGTGGGGAATAGCCCATTAATCCCCATCAACATTATATATAAAGTGTTTTGGGGGGGAAAACCTTGTTCCGGGACTGATAGTGTGAATTCCCCTAAAAATCCATACCAGACCCGTGCAGGGCTTCGTATGGCATGGAGGGGAGATACACTTTTGGGTCCACCTTTTTTTGTTAAATTTTTTTTTAAATTACGGAGCAGTTCTATCTTTTACATTATCCTGTCTGGGGAATCCCTCCTGACAGTGATACAGACCCCTATACTCTCCTCTCCATGGTTTCTCCACTAAAATAACAAATGCCGACATAGTGTTTTACTTTTTAAAATGCTTTAACTTCCTTCTGTAGTACACTTTATAGTGAGCGACGGTATGCGGCAATCCAAAATATAGCGTTGTCCTCCGCCGACCATTGAGTCATGCACCTGCCGTCCGTGTGTTAGTATTCCGCTCTACTCGGTGACGTTTGCAGTAAGATACCGCTTAGTAAATTGCACCCAGTGAGCCTCTCACCGGGCCCCCTACTGATCCCGGGCCCTCGGGCAATACCCAAATACCCAAGTGGTCAGTCTTCCCTTTTATGCGATGCATACTAGCATATTATGACATTACTTTGCAGGAAGAATTTTTTTTTTTCTAAAGTCAAGTTTACTACCGCTTTAAATAGTTTGCTCGGACCAAACATACTATTTTCTTCACTAACCATGCAGCGGCTGTATGAACTTTATGTATCTTCAGCTACATACAATATACAGTGCTGTGTTCTGGCAGTGCTCCCAGGACAAAATTGAGTCAGGCCGAGGGCTGCTCAGCCATTCACAGACAGCTTTGTATTTTATGAATGTATACAAAGACTTTCTATGATTGGCTGAGGCGAAGAGGTGAGTGGTTGACATTAGAATCTTTGACTCAGCCAATCAGAGTAAGCTTTGTATTCATTCAGAAAAAACAAGGCTTCCGATGAATAGCTGAGTAGTGCTCAGCCCGACTCAATCCTATTCCTGGAGCAGGACAAAAAGTCCCCATCCTGATACCGAAACACAGCGCTGTATACAGTGCAGGGAATATGTCATTTGAAACCAGCTTAGTCCAAACAAACTATTTAAAAGTCCACTAAAAGACAGAGTTAAAAATGTATACAACTCGGAAACCTGTCATGAGTTTTAAGCTAGCCATACCCTGATAGAGTACTATCACATGGTACTGATGTTTAAACATTAGTACTGGCCAATATTTCTTTTGTTTTTATTTTGCATGTACAGTACTTGCCCATACACGCATACCCAAGTAAAATAAATTGTAGCTCTCAGAATGAAGTTTTAACATTTATAAATTAACATTTTGCATGCTTAAAATACTCTCCACTCAGATTTAGGTTTTTGGGGTTTTTTTGTATCTCATCTATACGCAGTGCGTGTTTATGTGCCAGTGTGTACACGCACATTGAAAACAATGGGCTACATTATGCCTATATGCCTAAAAAAGCTTAGTTTTTAGGCAGCAGTGTGCAGGAGGCCTTAGACTTCTCCATTTAGGATTATTGGCAACTGTCAGAATACCTGAGCAGGTGCTGCATCTGACTGGAGGCAGCTGCTGCTTGGCTGAACATTTTCCAGCAGGCTCCTTCAACAAAAGGCAATCGAACAATTGAATTTTACTGAATGGAGCAGGGCTGGCATAACTACCCACGGAACAAATTTTGGCCAGATAAAATCCACTAAAGTCTATGACCAGCGTTACTGTAATTCAATATATAGGTATACGCATTTATGTTTTTAATGAACTGTTTAGGTTTTTGCACCCGCACTTACATACTATCTTGAGGCTGTACAGAGCTGCTCCATGTTATATAAACCTTCTTACCAGTAAGGCTCCATATAGAATGTAGGAGATGATGTGGCTTCATCCAGTCTTTGTCCACACTTCAGTATGCTTTTCACCAGATCGGTAACAGATCCACCATTACACAGCTAATACAAAACACATTACAATTTCATTTAGAATAAAAATCTAGTCATTTGCTGGTATATAAGTTCAAGTCATTGCATTTTTTGCAGAATTCAAACTATATAAATGACTGACGTTTCAGATCAATGAAGTCCATAATAGTCTACATATTCAATCCACTAGTATGCAGACGTCATAATGATAATTACATTCACTCTACTTATGTAGCATATTACATTTTAGAAATAATGAAATCTAACACTTATAAAAGAACTTCAGTTTTTTACTCCAGGCAAGAAAATGGATTTAGATTGCTATTACTTTCATAGAAATGTCACAATTTTAGATATATTCATTGTAGTTTGTTTTGACAAGTGAATAGTTCATTTTAAATAGCCTCACTTAAAAAGAACCCAACCCCCCCCCCTCCACTCCAAAAAAAAAAAAAAAAATATTTTATATATATATATATATATATATATATATATATATATATATATATATATATACACACTGTATACATACACCCACCAGCCACTTTATTAGGTGCACCTTGTTAATGCCAAGAAAATGTCTCCCACACCTTTACACCACCACCACCACCAGCCTTGATACAAGGCAGGAAGGATCCATGCTTTCATGTTGTAATGAGTGGTTATTGAGTTACTGTTGCCTTTCTATCATCTCACAAAAGTATGCCCATTCTTTCTGACCTGAACACATCAACAAGGCATTTTCGTCCACACAACTGCCACTCACTGGATATTTTCTCTTTTTCAGATCATTCTCTGTAAACCCTAGAGATGGTTGTGCGTGAAAATATCAGTAGATCAGCAATTTTTGATATATTTAGAACAGCCTGTCTGGCACCAACAACCATGCCACGTTCAAAGTCACTTAACCTCCCTAGCGGTATTCCCGAGTGTAGCTCAGGGAAAAGTTTAAGTACCAAAAGCGGTAACCCTGAGCTACACTCGGGCTTACCATGCGGCGTTGCTCAGGGATTCCCTGCAGCGCTTACCTTGTCCTTCGCTCCTGCGATGCGTCCCCTGCCGCGTCCCCAGCCTTCTCCTCCGGCCGATGCCAGCATCCAGCTTCCGTGTTCCAGTCCCTGCGGGATGTACGTGACGTATTGGGGCCGGGCCGGAACCGGCGGCAAATTTAAAAATTTTTAGAAACTATCATTTTCTAATGAATTAATTTGACATAATAAAACATTACTGTATCAAAGCATTTCACATACATTTTGTCCCTACTGCTTTGCCCTGTGCCCTGCCTGCATTTTTACTGTTTTTTCTGCCTGGAAACTTAGAAAGTCCATGGCGTCCAAAAAGCGTCCCTTTAGGTCAAAATCAGTTTTATATACCAGCTAGAGAACAGCGATAGTAAATTAGAACCACTTGCAGAATTGAGTGATAATGATTTGTGGGGAAATTCGTCATCAGACACTGAAACCGATTTTGCGACTTTGCTCAGTGATGTGCGATCTTGGCGTTATATTTCAAATTTCAGTGTTTTTGGTTTGATTATATTATTGAATTAAATTTATTATTATTACATTATTATTTTTATGATTATTTATTAAATTATAAATTATGATTTTGTGTTTCAAGCTTTATCCTACCCGGAATGTTTACTAGACTCTTGTTCGGACAGATTTCAGTGAGTTATTCCTAACAGGCCTACAATAAAAAAAATACATATTTCCATGCATAAAAATGTACCGCTTTCAGCACAGAAATATGGACATAATCAGACTGCTAGGGAGGTTAAATCCTCTTTCTTCCCCATTCCGGTGTTCGGTGTGAACTTCAACAAGTCGTCTTCACCATGTCTAGATGCCTAAATGCATTGAGTTGCTGCCACATAATTGGCTGATTAGCAATTTGTGTTACCAAGCAATTGAACAAATGTACCTAATAAAGTGGCCGGTGAGTGTGTGTGTGTATATATATATATATTATATATATATATATATATATATATATATATATATATATATATATATACACACACACACACACACACACAGTGCTCAAAAACATTAAAGGAACACTTTTTAATCAGAGTATAGCATCAAGTCAATTAAACTCCTGGGATATTGATCTGGTAAGTTAAGTAGAGGAGGGGCTTTTTAATCAGTTTCAGCTGCTTGATGACATTAACAGGTGCACTAGATGGGCAACAATGAGACAACCCCAAAACAGAAATGGCTTTACAGGTGGAGGCCACTGACTTTTTTTCCCTACTCATCTTTTCTGACTGTTTTTCACTAGTTTTGCATTTGGCTAGGGTCAGTGTCACTACTGGTAGCCTGAGGCGATACCTGGACCCTACAGAGGTTGCACAGGCAATTCAACTCCTCCAGGATGGCACATCAATACGTGCCATTGCCAGAAGCTTTGCTGTGTCTCCCAGCACAGTCTCAAGAGCATGGAGAAGATTTAAGGAGACAGACAGTTGCTCTAGCAGAGCTGAACAGGGCCATAGAAGGTCCTTAACCCATTAGCAGGACCAGTTTCTGCTCCTTTGTGTAAGGAGGAACAAGATGAGCTCTGCCAGATCCCAAAAAATGACCTCCAGCAGGCCACTGGTGTGAATATCTCTGACCAAAGAATCAGAAACAGACTTCATGAGGGTGGTCTGAGGGCCTGAAGACCTCTAGTGTGCGCTGAGTTCACTGGCCGGCACTATAGAGCTGGATTGGTATTTGCCATTGAACACCAGAATTGGCAGGTCCACCACTGGTGCCCTGTGCTTTTCACAGATGAGATCAAATTCACCCTGAGCATGGAGAATATTATGCTGCCTGTAACATCGTTCAGCATGACTGTTTTGGAGGTGTGTCAGTGATGGTCTGGGGAGGCATATCCATGGAGGGACGCACAGACCTCTACAGGCTAGACAATGGCACTCTGACTGCCATTAGGTATCGAGATGAAATACCTAATTCCACTGTCAGACCCTACGCTGGCGCAGTGGGTCCTGGGTTCCTCCTGGTGCATGACAATGCCCAGCATCATGTGGCGAGAGTATGCAGGCAGTTCCTGGAGGATAAAGGAATTGATACCGTTGAATGGCCCCCACACTCTCCTGAACTAAATCCAATAGGACACCTCTGGGATATCATGTTTGGTCCATTCAACACCGCCAGATTGCACCTCAGACTGTCCAGGAGCTCAGTGATACCCTGGTCCAGATTTGGGAGGAAATCCCCCAGGGCACCATCCGTCATCTCATTAGAAGCATGCCCCAACATTGTCAGGCATGCATACAAGCATGTGGAGGCCATACAAACTACTGAGTACAATTTTGAGTTGCTGCAATGAAATTTCAGCAAAATGGACTAGCCTGCTGCATAATTTTTTCACTTTGATTTTTGGGGTGTCTTTGAATTCAGTCCTCTGTAGGTTGATCAGTTTCGTGGAGCATCCTTACGTTCCTAACACATTAGCCAATTCATATCAGTATAGATATCCAGCATGATATTTTTCCCCACTGAACCTGATGTGTTTTCAAAGTGTTTTATTTAGGCAGTGTATATATATATATATATATATATATATATATATATATATATATATATATATATATGTATATATATATACTGCAGTATTATAGTTTTCTAGTCCCCCTGCTGAGTCCCCCAAATAACGGTTAAAGGTTAAGTTCACCTTTTGGTGCATACTACATGTTACACCCATATTTAGGGTATAACACGTAGCATACTCTTATGCACCCAACTCCTGCTGCCAGCACTCCCTGCTATGTGACAGTGGGCAGGGGATATTCTCCCCACACCTGCTGTCACAATGCCCACATGGCTACATCGTTCATTCACAGTTTCGCAGGTGCAATGCTTTACTGGCTGCAATTTAAAAAAAAAAATAAATGCACTTTTTTTTAACCTGCAAAAAGATTGCTGTTCAGTTCTCTGGCATTCTCGGAGAACACAGTTCTCCTGTGAATGCTTTTTATGAAGCAGTTCTCCAAACGAAGGGAGAACGGTCTCCAAATGCTGGAGAATGGTCTACAAACGCTGGAAAACGGCTGATTTTACTATAATCTCACGAGATTACAGTAAAAGATCAGTTTACTAAACAGAGGTAAATTATCGCTGCATAGTTTGCAGTCCCTCCGATTCTCCAGCTCTGGGCTGGAGAATCTGGAGGGAGAACACAGGTCTCCAGTGAAGGGCTGAACATGTTCTCCGCTGATCTCCTGAGTGTCATAAACTGTAAATGACCAGAGAATAGCTTCGATCCTCTGAATCGCAGCTATTCTCTGTGTCATAAACGGACACCTTATTATTTTTTTAACAAAAGTTGAACCTAACCTTTAAGCCTTCAAGTGAAGTCTGCTTAATGCAGCTTCCTGTGATAGTGTGGCAATGATTATGCACTGCTCCTGAAGTTAGGACAGAGTATTATCACTGTTGTCACTCTCATGTAGGCTGTGGACTATAGGTGAAAAAAATGCTGGGGGGTTCAGTGGTTATTATACAATCAGTATTATCACTGTTGATTTACAAGCTTTGTAATACTGTCTTTGTAATACTGGCACCTTTAAAGAAATTCATAGGTCATACATTAATTTCAAACGGTCCAGACTGACTGATGGCATTGTATTGAGAGAGGATAAATCGGTAGATCTAGTTTAATACAAAAACAAGCTGATTCGTTCTGGTGTGGGCAGTGTACGTAGCTTTGCGCCACTTGGGGTTACAGGACACTGTGCTGATGCACAGCATGCCTGCCTCTCCCCTAGTCAGTTTGGCTACTAAGCCCCCCCGCCCAGCCCTTCTGTTTTGATTGACTCCTGGTTTATGGGAGGTGCAGGCACATTGTGCATGGACACAGCATCCTGTAACTCCAAGCAGAAAGGAGTCACTGCTGTGTGCAATGTTCACCCAACACACACACAGACTCACCTCCTCTGCTATGGGTAACATGGAGGAACTGAGACTCCGTGGTCATGTGACCACCATTTAAAGCATTTAACTAAGGAATTCAGCATGTGACCA